CCGGGTTAACTAGTTTTCATTACTAAGGGGGTAGAACCTTCAAATTGACATTGATTTTTAAATTGTTTTCTAAAGGAGATCAATTAAAAGTCAAATTGACCAATCTGAAATTTCCCAAAGCAAATAATCTGGGGTAGTTGTTGTTATGAGTGCAGAATAGTTTTTGGATTTTTTGTTTGCCTCAGGTTTTGGAATTTTTGTTGGCTTTCTTTCCTGGTGTCATCTGCCTTGTATTTGCAACAGTTTGGAACTAGAATTGACTTTCGCCCGCTCTTTCGCATAACTTTCGCGGAACTTTCGCGAAAATATCCCTATTCACAGACCCCGGCCATCAGCAGGGGGTGCACTGAAGGAAAAGCGAAGACCAGGGGCCTTGGTGTTTGGCTCTCGCAAAGCCTCCCTTTTGGAAACTTGGCTACTGCTACTCGCATTCTCTGGTGCCCTTCTCCTGCCGGACCCCGGGCGGCAGTGGGTGGCAGCCCTTTACATATAATGATTATAATTCCCAACTTTCGCGAAACTTTTGCGAAATAAAATTTTACTTTCGCGAACTCGAAAAAAACTTTCACAAGGGTTTCCAACATAACATGCACGGCTTTCGCAATTAAAACTCCTTAAAGGGACCTTTAGATCGATCACCATAAATATGATAATATCTGATAATATATGTATACCCGGATCCCCCGCAGACCAGAAATTTGGTCTGAAGTGATTCAGTTTACTAATCAGACTGATTTCAGAAATCTCGCCTGAGGTGAACTGTCATTTAGCATGGCATTTGCTACATTTTGGCATGGTCACTTTGCATTTTGCATGGTATTTGCTACATTTGGCCATGTCCGCCTTGCATTTTGCATGGTATTTGCCACGTTTTGGCACTTCAACCTCTCATTTGCATGGTATTTGCTACATTGTGGTACTTCAAACGTTCATGTGAGTTTCTTGAGACTTTCTTTAGGGTTTCATTTAGGGTTTCATCTAGGGTTTCATTTAAGGTTTCTTTAGGGTTTCATTTAGGTTTTCATTTCAGGTGTCATTTAGTGTTTCTTTAGGTTTAATGTTTCTTTAGAGTTTTGCTTAGGGTTTCATGTAGGGTTTCTAATCAGGATGTCCAAACGTTCATGTGGGTTTCTTTAGGGCTTCTTTACGGTTTCATTTAGGGTTTCTTAGGGTTTCATTTAGGGTTTGTTGAGGTTTCATTTATGGTTTCATTCAGGGTTTCTTTAGGGGTTCTGTAGGGTTTCATGTAGGGTTTCATTTAGGGTTTCTTTAGGGTTTCTTTAGGGTTTCATTTAGGGTGTCATTTAGGGTTTCATTTCAAGTTTCATGTAGGGTTTCGTTTAGGGTTTCTCTAGGGTTTCATTAGGGGTTTCATTTAGGGTTTCTTTAAGGTTTCTTTAGGGTTTCATTTAGGGTTTCATTCCAGGTTTCATTTAGGGTTTCTTTAGGTTTAGGGTTTCTTCAGAATGTCATTTAGGGTTTCATTAAAAGTTTCTTTAGGGTTTCATTTAGGGTTTCTTTAGGGTTAACTTATGGTTTCTTTAGGGTTTCATGCAGGGTTTCTTATCAGGAGTTCTTATCAGGATTTCTTTAAGGTTTCTTTGGGTTTCACCTAGGGTGTTTACAAACAGGAGAGAGCAAAGCAAAAGAAAAGAAAAAACAAAGAGGCAGTAAAGACAGGAAGCAGAGAAGCAGAGGAGCAGGAAGTATATAGAGCAACAAAAACACTTGCCTGAAGAAAAGAAAAAGTAGAATAGTAGAAGTAGAAAGGCACAGAAGCACAAAAGCAGAAAAGCAGAGAAGCAGGGAAAGCAGAGAAGCAGAAAAGAAAAGAAGCAGGTAAAGCACAAAAGCAGAAGAGCAGAGAAGCAGGGAAAGCAGAGAAGCAGAAAAGAAAAGAAGCAGGTAAAGCAGAGAAGCAGACAAGCAGAGAAGCAGGGAAAGCAAAAAGCAGAAAGGCAGAGAAGCAGGAAAGCATAGAACCAGGAACCCAAAAATAATTCCAAAACCTGCCGTAAAAAAAAATACGAAAAATAAATAGCCCTCCTTTTATTATTTAGAGGAGTTTTAGTAGTAGGGAGAAGGGATTGAGACACGTCGGCAGGCCCATCACGAAAAGAAACGGTTGGATATCAGAAAAGATTGAGAATGAACAAGTTGGATTGCTCAACTCCATGGGAAGAATTCAGTGAATGAATGGCCGATATTAATGATGGATCCAAATATTTCACCAACATTGGTAGGTATACACTGACTAATACAACACTACAAGTGGTATAGTGTACCCAGCTCACCTCCTATATAAACCCCAAGAAGTTGAGTTCTAGCGCCGAAAGAAAACGTGGCATGCATGAAGATCGAGAAGGGATGAGGGCATATGATGCACCGGTCATATCAGGTCATACTGTGGATGGGCCAGCGAAATCCTGCACCACCAATTTCGGATTGTTGAAAGCCTATCTGGTTGGTGGTTTCAACCTCTCTGAAAAATATTAGTCAGTTGGGATGATTATTCCCAATATATGCAAAAATATAAAATGTTCCAAACCACCAACCAGCTATAAATAATGGGATAAACCATCTATCAACTGGTGATTCGGATTTCTTCCTTAGAGCTAAGTCTGACTAAGTGCACTAAGTGACTATTTGACATCTCCATGTTTGCCCTTGGTCGTAATACCATTTCAGTTGGCTAACATCCCCAAAAGGTATTGCTGAATTCTGCCTGAATGTCGTTTCTGGTTGCATAGATTGTTCATTCGTCATACTTCACATCTGGTTGGTGGTTTCAACCCATCTGAAAAATATGAAAGTCAGTTGGGGTTACTATTCCCAATATGATGGGAAAGTCATAAAATTCCATGGCTCCAGTCACCACCAACCAGACATTGTTTAAGCCATTTCCCAGAACTATTGGTCTTGGTGGCTGCTTCAATGCTTCAATGTTCAAGGGGATTCCCACCCGGAATTGCCGACATTCATCTTCGTCAACCACCATATATATATATTATTGATGAATACTGAATAATTATCATTCATTTGTAATATACAAATAGTATCTTATAGTAGCCCCAAAAGATGCGATTTTTTCTTTTCAAAAAAGGAACACCTGACTAAATTTAGATGAATCGTAAATCATAAAGTATCATAAAGTACTAAATTATCACAGAAATATGATGATAGTCATGATAGTGAAAACCCAAGATAGTACCATAATTACTCAACAAAAAGAAAAAATCACGACCCACGGTTCCATCTGGTTGGGGGGTACTATACTGGTAATGGCTGTTACAGTTTGCTATTGAAAATGACCCATAGACATAGTTGATTTTCCCATTAATAGCATGGTGATGTTCCATAGTTATGTAAACGTCTACCAGGGGGTAAATGTCGATTGTCGATAGTCTGAGACCACCAACCAGCCCCATTTATAGTTGATTTACCCATTAATAGCATGGTGATTTTAAATTTTGCCATCAGCTTTTTGGTAAACGTTTACCAGAGGGTAATAACCAGTGGAATCTCCAGGTTTCGCTTCCGAATTTCTCGCTGAGCCCAACCGCCAGCCCCGCGTGCCTCTCGACAGCAGGTCTCTACATTGTGTGCCTCCTTGGCTTGGGAAATCCGTGGTAAAATCCCATGGTTTTTAACTATTTAATGGGTATAACATCAATGGTTATTATATGGTTAGTATCCTGTTAATAATGGTTATTATATGGTTAATATACTGTTAATAATGGTTGATATATGGTTAATAATAAACCTGCTACCCTCTGGTAAACGTTTACAGTTTGCTACTGAAAATGGTCATAGAAATAGTTGATTTACCCATTAACAGCATGGTGATGTTCCATAGTTATGTTAAATATTGTTAAATTACCAGAGGGTAATCTAGGGAAATATCATCTATAAATATTGGATGATTTTCGAACACACCATGGTTGATTACCAATTGGGGTATTCTCCCAATTCCTGGTGTTTGTATAGGGAAAATGATGATAAACCACCAGATTTGGGGCTACCCCTTTTCAGATAAACCCATACCCTCTGGTAAACCTACAAAAAACTATGGAAAATCACCATGCTATTAATGGGTAAATCCACTATTTCTATGGCCATTTTCAATAGCTATGTTAGTTTACCAGAGGGTATGTGTTGACTGTTGATATGTGAGGACAATCCACTTTTTGCGGAGACTTTCTGCGAGTGCGCCTCCAACAGGTACCAGAGATACACCTGGAATATTTGGATGTACGTCCCAGTCAGTAAAGTGAGTAATAACCATCCTACAACCCAAGTATGTGTGGAATATCCCCAGTTGTACTTGGGTATACTTGGGTTGTGTATGGGTAAAGAACAGCACTTACGATTCTTGGGACGCCCCCCAAGTAGGACTATCCACAGGTCCAAGGGCCAACCATGGTTTTCTGCGGAGTAGTTTGTCGCTACACAGAGGGAAATTCATGTGATCAGCAAGGGTATCCAACAGATTTGCCATGCCAGGTTAAGCACATGGCATGCAATGTCTGGGTCTGTCTGAAATGAAGTATTGACAAATCGAATGGTGTATCGTCACGTCCACACAAAATTGCGATTTGGAGGTTTCCTAATGGCTGGAGGTACCATCCATGATCATCCATTTTATATGTATATATTTATATAGATATATATATATATATACATAATCAGATTTTCCATGATAATCCCTCCAGCTATTCGGGATCCTCCATTTATGGATACCCAACATTTCGTCTTTACAGGGTCCGTCCAGTTTCGAAAATTGTTGGAGAAACTCATGGGTTGCCAACAAGAATTGCGGTTCATCACCTGCCCTAACTCAGTGGGCTGAACCACCAAATATGGATGTAACCATGGTAATAGTCACCATAACATCATAACTTCAGATACAACCCCCCATAACTCTGGTTGTACATGGCCATATATCCATTTCTAGAACTGCACCCCTCAGTTCCGTCTCCCAACATAACACCCGGAGCCCTTTAAGGACCCCCGTCACCGCACTGCCCAGGGGCATCGATGATCACGATCCGACCCTTTAAGGACCAGCGTTCACGATGATGGGAACGGCATTGAGACACCGACGGATCCAGAATGTAGTTCTGCGGGCAGAACACGATGTCCTCGGAGAGAGCATGAAGGTATGGTTCATTGGGATTTCAATCCTCAATGAATATAATATAATACAATACAAAATGATATATAATATATAAAACTATAATAGATAATATATAATATATATAATATATAAAATATAATATATAATATATAAAATATATAACACATAATATATAATATATAAAATATAATATATAATGGTTAATCTATAATGTAATATACAATATATATATAATATAATATATATATATATATATAATACAAGGCGAATTACAACCTCTAGTCTGGTGTTTCCCCTCAACAACATAACATAACAACTACGTGCAAAATTGTCAAAATCGCATGTCTCAAAATGGACAATGCCCCAAAGAACCCCAAAGAAACGGTTTCGACGGCTGAAATATGTAGATCATGACATGGCATTTCACATCACAGGGTGAAATCGCAGGTCTCTGCCAGCTCTGAATTGACACCTGGCATCTTACCAATTAACAACAAGTGCACCATCAATTCCCTTGCCCTTTTCTACATATCCCTGAGCTGATCTTGCACGGCAGAGCTATCGCCACCACCATCTGGATCGCCCCAAGTAACGACAGATCCATCTGCCAAGATAGCAGCAAATGCGAAAGATGTGGCATGAACCTGCTGCGTGTTCCTGAGCTGATCTTGCACGGCAGAGCTATCGCCGCCACGATCTGGATTGCCCCAAGTAACGACAGATCCATCTGCCAAGATAGCAGCAAATGCTCGAGATGTGGCATGAACCTGCTGCACATTCCTGAGCTGACCTTGCACGGCAGAGCTATCGCCACCAACATCTGGATTGCCCCAAGCAACGACAGATCCATCTGCCAAGATAGCAACAAATGCTCGAGATGTGGCATGAACCTGCTGCACGTTCCTGAGCTGATCTTGCACGGCAGAGCTATTGCCACCACGATCTGGCTCGCCCCAAGTAACGACAGATCCATCTGCCAAGATAGCAGCACATGCTCCACCATTGGCGTGAACCTGCTGCACGTTCCTGAGCTGATCTTGCACGGCAGAGCTATCGCCACCACCATCTGGATCGCCCCAAGTAACGACAGATCCATCTGCCAAGATAGCAGCAAATGCTAGACCTGCGGCGTGAACCTGCTGCGTGTTCCTGAGCTGATCTTGCACGGCAGAGCTATCGCCGCCACGATCTGGAGTGCCCCAAGTAACGACAGATCCATCTGCCAAGACAGCAGCAAATGCTAGATTTGTGGCGTGAACCTGCTGCACATTCCTGAGCTGATCTTGCACGGCAGAGCTATCGCCGCCCAAAAGTGGATTTCCCCAAGTAACGACAGATCCATCTGCCAAGACAGCAGCAAATGCTAGATATGTGGCGTGAACCCGCTGCACGTTCCTGAGCTGATCTTGCACGGCAGAGCTATCGCCGCCATCATCTGGATTGCCCCAAGTAACGACAGATCCATCTGCCAAGATTGCAGCAAATGCTCGAGATGTGGCATGAACCTGCTGCACATTCCTGAGCTGATCTTGCACTGCAGAGCTATCGCCACCACCATCTGGATCGCCCCAAGTAACGACAGATCCATCTGCCAAGATTGCAGCAAATGCTCCACTTGTGGCATGAACCTGCTGCACATTCCTGAGCTGATCTTGCAGGGCAAAGCTATCGCCACCAAAACATGACCTGCCCCATGTCACGATCCTATCACCTCCATGGCACCAGATAGCAAAAGCTCCGTCTGTTGCCGCCATCTTTGCTTGTTGCACAATGGCTGTCAGGTGATCTCCCTCCTTCAGCCCTGCCGCTTGGAGGAACTGGTTCGGATCAGCCAGGATGTGCCCCTCTGCAGTGACAAGCCTCAGGAAGCCTTGTTCAAAAGACTTCTGGGCCAAACGCTTCAAGTCCCCAACTTTGGAGGACTCTGCGATGGACAAACTGTTCCGTTTTCCACTCGGCAAAGCTACGTTGACTTGCAGCATCAAAGCAACAATCAAAAGCGACACTTTATCTCACACATTTTGTTGTTCTATAGAAATCTCGAGCCAAAGTCACATGAGCATGGTCTGAGCCCAAGACTATTGATTCTGACAAGTTTCTAAAATCAAGTGCCCACCAAATGCCTCTGATTGGAGGGAAGGACACCTGCATATATATAATATATAATATAAAAATATAGAATATATAATATATAATATATAATATATAGGATATAAAAAGTAATATATAATATATAATATATAATATACAATATATTATATATAATATATAACATATAAAATATAAAATATAAAATATAGTATATAATCAGAAAATTGAAATATGGAAGGTCAAATGGAATACCATCTGATTTTGACGTGGAAATATGGAATCATGAAATAAGGGCAATATGGGGTTCACTATTGGAATATATCAGAAATTTGAAATATGGAAGATGAAATGGATATAATCATATGTGCTATTAGCCCGTTAGCTAGGATTTAATCCCTATGATTGTATGTATGTGCTTATATATATATATGTTCTTCCTTTCAAAACATAAAGAACCATATGGTCATATTATCCAATTTGAACTAGAACTGCACCCAAAATATGTGTGCTTCAAAATAACGCTACCAATGGGAGAATTTTCCATTTTTGCTGGGAGGTGCCATTTCATTCTCAGCTGGGTGACACGCATACGCCCCCTGTTGCAGCCAAAGAAAACGCATTTACCTACCATCTGTCACTCGGTTTCCCACTGTGAACATGGTTAAATAGTTGCTCAAAAATGATCCACCACCTTTGTTGATTGATAACGCCCCCAATTTGTAATAGTGAGCCCAAAATGTTCGCGTACAGATCAACAGTTGGTTCACCCAACCAAGATTGCAAGGTCAAGAGATGAGTTGTAGCTACTACAACAAAAAACATCATGTGGGTAAAACAACAATAATCACCATAAATAGTTCGTAGAAACCATTCCCAAATGGGTGATTTATGGCATTGTTTCACCCGCATTAGTTGAAATCCACATGATTTTTTTCCTTGCTCTGATTGGTCTATACTCTAGTAATACTCAGTAGAAGCCCACTTACCGATGCGCTTTTCTTCATGGTAGAGTCTAGTAAAGATCCCACTTTCTTCTGCGAATTTTAAATGGAAAACTTAAACCCTATATGTTCCTAGTTATTTTACAACTATCCCATATATATATATATGTAATTATATCGTTAAAATTGGGTACCCCCAATAATATAGATGGTTAATACATGTTCAGACACAACAATAGACTCAAATCTGTGGTTTTTGGGTCTAAATAAATTTGACGACCCATCTCCTCATCTGAAATCGCCAAGCAACTGCATCTCCTGCCAAGACATGGGCTGTGTAGTACGGGCATCCTGGAAATTGGTCCTCGCTTGGCATGTCAGGACCAGGTCGGACCACGGAGCCAAATCCATCCCAGCTGCATCCCTGAGAATCCCGAAACAGATGCACAGATGCACTTAGCAGCATGCTTGGGAATACCTTTCAGTATACAGAACACATACAAATACAGAGACTCAAATAGAATCAATACATAGATAGCCCAGGTACACTCTTAATATAAGCCAAATATTTGAATAATGAGATATTCATGAGATACAGTATATAGCATCACCAATAAGACTTAAATATCTAGTGAAGTTACAAATCTTTAAAACCTGCCGCGGATTCGTTCGGGTCAAGCATCAGAAGCTTTCGGCTGGGCACATGATAACAACTCTTCCACCTGGGGTCGCCGCGACCCCAGATGGGATTGAATGGCAGTATAGGTACAGATAGCTACAGTGACTCATCTACCCTCTGGTTATTTCAAAATAGCTATTGAACATGGCCATTTATAATGGATTTACCTATTAAAAATGGTGATTTTCCATAGTTATGTAAACCTTTACCGGAGGGTAACTTAATTACTGGGATAAATGATCATACCTTTCCGGATACTACTGGTTCATGTCTATTAATTCTACCTATGGTGCTACCTATGGTGCTGAAATCAAGGGTTAGCAGTGAAAATCTGGTGGCTCCCATCGGGATTTTGCCAATTGCACCAACCCCACTCAAGTAAGCCCCGATCCGTGCGAGGAGATGCACTGGGATTATGAATGGTTGGTGTGGGTGAAAAATGATTATATAATAATGGTACAACTATGGCTTTTAATTTAATGGGTACAACCATGGGATTCAAAAAAATAAGTTGGGATAATTTGGGATATAACATGATATACCATGACATAACCCCAGCTATGGTGAAAGCCACTCCCTAGTGGAACTGCAGCCCCCACCTTTTGAATCCAATCGTTGGGGTCCTCAACAAACATCACGTTTACTCCCAGAAGATAGCAAAGTCGTTTACCTTCTGGTTATGTCAACATAGTTATTGAAAATGACCATTGAAATAGAGGATTTACCCATAGATGGCATGGTGATGTTCCATAGTTATGCTTTGTTGGTTTACCAGGCCGGGTAGATTCGGATAAGTTACTTTCTATCTCTTTAAAAGGAGGTCGCAGAATACAAGTCTACCGTTGATCAGAATCTACCACCAATCCCAAAGTGTTGCTGAAGCTCGTCTACTTCTGACCAACATAGAACCCTGAAAGTGTCATGTGTAGCAAAAAATTAATCTTCCAAATCAATTGAGCATTGTTGCAGACCCTCTGTCGTCCCTAAAAATACTGATTGGGCAATAGGATTTGCCACAATAGAATTGTGATCATCCCCAATTTATAAAGGGTATATACGTAGGTTAATAACCCCCGAACATCGACAATTGCGCCAAGATGCATCCCAAATGCGCCCGGCTTGGCCATATCGATCCTTGGTGAAAAAAAACCCAAGTTTTGCTCGTCGAATTCTCTATCATTCCCCGTAATACTCATCTCAAAAAATATGAAACTTAAAGTCCTATCAAAAATAGTGATAGATTACTTTTCTAGCTTTTTGGATTACTATAAGTTTAATTATTATGTTTATCAACCATGTTCTTGTTGTTCTTAGTGTTGAATCCCGCATTTTGTGGGTGGACATTGTTTTTGTTGACACCTTCACAACAGCTTTGACGCCATATTTAAATAGTCAAATATCAAATTGCTCATAGTCTAGGTGATCCAGCAATGCATATGATGTGTTGACAATCCTGCATCTTGCTTCATCTTGGTTTCTCCGTAAGTGTTGTTTTCATTACGGTAAACCTTAAAACACACCTGATTCGTACTTACAAGCCATTCGAAACACATGCTGGCAAAGTGGAATCACCATCCCAGTTTGGGCAACATCTCATACCTTTCTTCTTCTTTTGATCTCAACCTCCCCCAAATCCCAGGATTTTCGGATTCCAAGGATCATGAACACGCTGCGCATAGCTGTTCTGTCCCAAACCTGGCTGGAGCAACCCTGCTTGTTGGTTAAGAAAGGGATTCCACTGGAGTACGATGATCCCAAACAATCAGCAAAAGCTCTGAACATTGTTCAAATCGCACTGCCGATGGTGATGGCATGTGATGGCCCCAATCACTTTTGAAGCTGGCACCCCCTAATCTGATGAAGCACCTAAAAAGTTGCGGAAATTCTGTGTTCCCAGGATGTGAATTACCCTTTGGTAAACGTTTACAAAAAAATATGGAAAATCACCATTTTTAATGGGAAAACCATCTATTTCCATGGGCCATGTTCATCCATTTTCCATGGCTATGTTAAATAAACAGAGGGTAGATGAGTCATGTCCTCCATTATTTCCAGGTGTCTTGTTGCTATTTTAACGGCGTCGACCTTCGGGGGTTGCAACCTTGGCACTGTTCCACTACTAAATTTAACTTATTTCGCCATAGTTGTAGGGGCCCAATAAATATCCCAACTTGTGGAAGTTAGATCCCATAGTTATACCCATGAAAACAACCATTAATAGCCATACGTAGTTATATATATATATATATTAAATACTCATCCATGAATAATTTGGTGAATAATGGTATATTATATATATATGTATATTCCCATGTTCTTGGTGGTGGCACCTGCAAGGGGCCGTGCAGTTCGTGTAGGTTCTACTCCCCTGCCGTGTTTGTGTTTCTGTCCGTCTATTTTTTTCTATCTTTTTATAGCTTCATTTTCGGGGGTTGGTTGGGTGGGGTGGGTGGGGCAATAACGTCCTTGCACTTGCACACCCACTTGCTGTTACGTCATATACTTTTCTTCTTGCCATGTCAGAAGAACTTCTCTAGCATTTCCACATCTTCTGCACGCTACGTTATATACTTCTCTTGTTGCCATGTTCAAAGAAGTTCTCTAGCACTTCCATGTCTTCTGCTTGTTACGTTATATAAATTACTTGATGCTACGTCACAAGAACTTCTCTAGAGTTGATGCTATGTCATGATAATTTCTCTTGTGCTTCTAATACAAGTTCAAGCTACGTTATATATATATATAAGTACATACATACATATATATATACACTGTATATATATATATATTATGTATACATAAATACATATATATATATATAACGAATATGACCAAAAAAATGACTCGCCAGAAAGACGTGCAAAAAGTGCACGAAGGGTCGTCGAAAAACACTTCCTAAGCAAACCCTTGCAGAGGTTTTGCATATTTTCTAACCATCGCTTTCTATGAAATCCCTCAAAGCCGCCATTTTTTGGTGATTCTCAAAATCGTCATGATTCCGACACATTCACAAACGCACGGCCATGCACGGCCCCTTAGAGGCGCTGGCACCGTGCTTTTTCACCTATGGCCAGCCCCATAGTGGGGTGATCCATACTCTCTGGTAAACTAACATAGCTAATGAAAATGGCGACATAGAAATAGTGGATTTACCCATTCAAAATAGTGATTTTCCATAGTTTTGTTAGTTTACCAGGGGATATCCAAAAATTGCCAGACAACTCCAAATGTCATAGTTGAGTTTCCTATTGACAGTGGTTTCCCAGGTCGCCAACTGTAAACGTTTACCCAGATCAGCCCAGATCCAGCAGGGCCTCGATAGAGGTTGCAGCCTCCCGGCAGGTTGGCCACCGCACAACGCGCCGCTTGGCGACAGCTGAGGTTCAAAGACACGCGACCGCGGCGCGCCTCCGATTTCACCTCTGTGAACACCCAGCGAAGAGTGGAGGACTGGGGTGGAAATAAAGGGTATAACTGGTACAACTATTGACTAATAATAGTTAATTATGGCTTAATAATGGTTGATATATTGTTATTAGATGGTTAATGATGGTTAATAATAACCTGGTTAATGATTATTAATGATTAATTATTAATAGTTATATTAGTTATAATTCGCTATACTGGTTAATGGCTAATACCCTGGTGATTGACTAATAATACTGGTTGGTGGTTTTAACCCCTTTGAAAAATATTAGTCAATGGAAAGGAATATCCCATATATGAAATGGAAAATAAAAAATGTTTGAAACCACCAACCAGAATAGTTAATTATGGGTTAATAATGATTAATACTGGTTAATTGATATGGGTTGGTAATGGTTAATGATTATTAATGGTTATTGATGGTTATTAATGGTAATGAATGGGTATAACTATGGGATTCTGACTTCCAGAGTTGGGATATCGGGCACAACTATGGTCATCAAAAACATTTACGATCAGCTGGTTAATTAATCTATAGCCAGAGATTTCCGTTTGTACCTGGTGAATCTATACCTAGACCCTCTGAAAGTCTGCAAGTAATCAACCTTAAAGAGTCGACCCCCCGACCTTAAAAAAAACAAAATGGAAATTAACCCTAAACAATTGCAATTAACCATAAAGCTTAACCATAAAAAAATAGTATCTTACCCCCATAAAATCCAGTATTTCTAGCCATTTTTGGACGGGTTTTTGCTGAGGGCTTTAAGGATGATCAGTGCGTATCAAGGTTCAACAAACCGAGCTGGAGATTGCATCAGGACATTTGGCTTATTAAACAGCCCCCAGAAACCGTGGTTTAGGACAGGATTTACACTATAAGTGGGACCATAAAATGGGGGTGTTTAACATTAGGGGGATGGAGTTAAACCAAGCAAAATTTGGTGATTGAATGAAAAAAACATTTGATTTAGCCAAGAAATGTTGATATCAGCTGCAAATGCATGGATTTAACAAGCGAAAGTGGGAATTGCAGCAACACAAATGCGATTATAACATGATATAACCAACAAACAGTTGAAATGTAGCCGGCAAAGATTAGGATTTAGTGGAACTGACTGGTGAAAAAAATGTATTGAACAATCATCGCAAAGGATTCTCATCCAAAAAACCTGCAGGGATGTGTCCTGGCAAATCAAATAGTATCATTTAATAACCCACATAAAATCCAAGCACTATGATCTCAAATTTCTTAAATCTCCGGTAATCAAAGATGGCCATGGAACATCACCAATTTACAGATGGATTTTCTTAAGACCTCCATTTCTGGAGGATTTCCAATTGCCATCACCCGATGAGTTGATTTAAAATCATGATCCATCTTCGGCAGTCATCAAACAATTAATTTTTTGCTTCTTGGCTGGATATGGTTATTATATGTTATTATCCATTTATATCAAAAAACTCAAGGATTTTCCACTATCCATCCAGTCGGCTGGGGATGAAATGGCTATGACTCTGCCAAGGCAAATCCATCCCCATTTTTGTGGTTGAATATCCTGGGTGAAACATCCCATGAAAAATTCCATCCAGCTGGCTTCGTGCCGCAATTAGTGTTTGGACATCCTCTGCGACATCCTCAATGATGCCTTGCTCAATCACAAGGGATGAGCCTGGAGCATTCGGCTCCGTATTCCAGACATCTCACATGGAGCTGGAGGCTCCCATCCTCCGGCACCGGCAAGCAGGCAGCCAGTGTATCACCGGGTTCCGGTCCAAAGATCGTCTGAGAAGTCAGCTCCGGTGCCCCCAGAGCTCAAATGCTTGCTGCGCAGCAATGCTCTGCTATGCCTTTGCGGTGAATCGAAACCTACGCGGGGAAGGTTCACGGGGTGGCCTCTGGAAGGTGGTTCCCCCTACCCGCAACATGGCCGGCACAGAAACCGAGGTACGGTCTCGTTGGCACACAACTGATCGCGGCTGCCAATGACAGCCATGCGGGGCCTGGTGGCAAGGTTTGCGGTGGGATTTTACCAGGAAAAATGCGGATTATTAGTCAAGCAAAAATACAAACGTTAGTTTTTGGGGTACATATAAATTTGAGCCGTTCCCATTTCGACCCACATGCCATTGTATCCATCCTTTACGTATGCGTATGTATATATATATATGATATTATGTACAGTACATGTAGGCGCCAAACCCCACGTTCGACCATAACACACTCTCTGGCGTCTCCGGTGACATAAGTAAAGACTGTAGCCTGCTGCTTTCAAAGAATTCTGATATCCGGCTGAGACATCCATAAGTTTAACAGGGACGTTTTCTACTGGCGGAATCTTATCTTCATAAGGGATCAAAAGCCCCACGCCATCTGAACAAGTATGTTGTACAAGTATGTTGTATATTTGTTAACCCATGATGTTGGGTCATGACACATGCTACCAAAGCTCGTCGGGGCAAACAAGTTTGCTGCTTCGTCCGCCCCAATGCGCGGCACAGCGGCAGAACCCGCAAAGTCATGCGGTCTAAAGACCAGTTCGGACCGCCATGGAGGATCTGGTCGTACTTCGGACAGATCCCTCACTTGGCGTGGGTTTCCACGGGAAGGTTGAAAGGAAATAGATGAGGAAGCCGCATGGCGAGCTGATTAAAAAAAAGCCGAAATGCAAATTCAATAGAATCTTCAACCTGATCGTAATGATTTTCAAACTTCGTGCATGGCAACATGGTCCAAACGTATGGTCATTGGTGGCCGCTCTTCCGCCAGTCAAAAGGCAACAAATTCAGACAAGTAAAATTTGACGAACCCAACTCAGCTTCTCTGCATCTGCATTTCTTGTTGCCTACAGCTGCGAGTCAACAAAACGCATCCAAGCATCAGCGGCCACTTGCCCATTTTGCCCTTGCCCTTGCCCCTGCCAAGCGAGAGAGCTTTCGAGGTGCCCATTTTGCTCACTCGATCCGTTATAAGTTCCTTCTAAGATCACCTTGGCAATGCCAGGCATCCAACCTTTGGAGCCGCATCCACTCACCGCCGACACAGCTCCCCACCTTGTCCCGTCCACAGCAACAGTTTTGCCCCGGTGTCCATGCAAGGTCTGAAGCCAAGCTAATCTGGCGGCAGACCCTCCAAATTCAAAGGGATGATGATGCAAATGAAAGGGTTGCGGGTATGGAAGAAAATACTCGCACCATGACAGATGGTTTTCGGGACGCATCTCTCAGAGGTGTGGCCAAATTCAAGACCTCTCCCTTGACGAGTTAACCAACCAGCCAGCCAGGGCCAGGTGCTGTAGAGTTTGTCCACAAATTCATCCGCTTCACGGCCGCTTCAGGCGGCACCTTCTTTTGGGACCTTCTCGTAGATCATCCGAGCGAATATGAAGTGAACCTAGACAGGACCCGGCAACATGTGCCAATCTGCTGAATCTTGCCACAGCCTCTACAGATGTAGGTACAAGCAATGGTAAATATGGGTGAAAATTGGTAAATCATGATGCATAATGTTAGTTAGTTGTTGGCAATTCTTAGCAACAATGCCCTTCATATCCTTATGTGCAACCAACTTTGCTCACAAATATTCACACCTGTCATACTTTGGCGATTTATGGAAGAGCTTTCGGGACATGCTTTATTCAAACATATATATTTAACATTATTCAACTATATTCAGCTCTATTTCTTCAAACAACACCTTCGTACACCTTGTGTGGCCGACAAACATCCACAAACCTCACATATCTCACGTATATCCACAGCTATCATATCCCGAGAAAAACGTTTTGTCGATCTAAAGCAGACAAGAAGCACCAACCCACAGGCTGACGAACTCTTCAACCTTGGCATTGATGCCCTTCCAAGAGCTGCTGCGGCGGCAGACCGGTGGGGTCTCAGAGCCGCTCGGAAACGACACCCGCAGCTCGTGAAGCACCGTCTGCCTCAGGTAGGAGCCCTCAAGGCGAGGACAAAGGTACTAGAATCAGGAAGGACAAGGACAAGGTCTATAATCATTGCCACGTTCAAATACTGGACATATAGGTCCCCTGATAGCCCAAGACTAGTGCGGGCCCTCCGCGGGCTTATACGGGCCCGTCGCGGGCTTGCGGGCCCACGGGCCCGCGGGCCCGAGGGTCTTCAGGTCAGCATTTTATCGTGTGTATGTTCTCGCATTCTATCTGCCAGATAGAAGGTCAGATAGAATGTCAAAAGATATGCCAGATAGAATGTCAGAAGGTATGCCAGATAGAATGTCAGATAGAATGCGAGAAGGTATGCCAGATAAAGTGCCAGAATGTTTGCCAGATGAACGCCAGAAGATTTGCCAGATAGAATGCCAGATAGAATGTCAGAAGATATGCCAGAAGATATGCCAGATAGAGTGCCCGAAGATATGCCAGAACATATGCCGGGTAGGATGCCAGAAGATATGCCAGATAGAATGACAGAAGATATGCCAGATAAAGTTCCAGGCGATATGCCAGAAGATATGCCAGATAGAATGCCAGAAGGTATGCCAGATAGAATGTCACATAGAATGCCAGAAGGTATGTCAGGTAGAATGCCAGAAGATATGCCAGATAGAATGCCAGAAGATATGCCAGATAAAATGCCAGAAGATATGCCAGATAGAATGCCAGAAGGTATGCCAGATAGAATGTCAAATAGAATGCCAGAAGGTATGCCAGATAAAGTGCCAGAATGTTTGCCAGATAGAATGCCAGCAGATTTGCCAGATAGAATGTCAGATAGGATGTCAGAAGGTATGCCAGAAGCTATGCCAGATAGAATGCCAGATCGAATGCCAGAAGATATGTCAGATAGAATGCCGGAAGATTTGCCAGTAACAAAACGTATAAATGTCATGGTGGGGACGGGGATGACTCGAAGTAAAGTAATGCAATCAAAGGGCATGGTCAAGCGGCATGAAGTTACAAAGGTTCAAATAATGATGGAACTTAAATCATCTCAAACTCTCCGTGTGGAATGAACCCTTGAAGCTCCCTCCAAAACTCCAAGTTTCTGTACAATCACAGAAAAGCGATTCATGAGCGCTGTCACGCACAGTAGAGGTCAGTTCGTCTCATCACATTTTGATGGTAGTTCATATACAATACAAGGCAAAAACAATCTTGCTAACCTCACAAAGCCTTTTTCTTCACCAGGGCAAGTGATTTCGAAAGCGATCTCTTGCCAGCGGCTGTTCAGAAACGCTAACCTCATGTGAGCCAAAGACCTTGGCACCGAACGTCTCTTTGAATTCTGCACAAACAAGCGTTCCTATTCTACTCACTATTTTCAACATCCTGGACATGTCCGACAGATTGACCAACTATTATACAGACACTATATAAATAATTACAGTCTAGAATCGGCTCGATACGTCTGACTAGACATGAAAGGGCCGTTTGTCAGGATCAATGATCACTGACGGCTTTGAGTGAACGTCAGTCAACATGTTTATGGATGTTTATTCAATGAAAGTGTTCGAGCTGCTGAAGTGATTTGTTGGACATCAAACTTGCGCATGTGGTTGCGTTGGAAAGTGTCAAATCACAGCGGTTATGCGTTTAATACTCTTTTCTGACGGTCCAATCTGGAGCCGCATCTTGAGGGCACATTGCTTTTGTCACTTGTCACGGGCACGATGAGCATATGGATGTAACAAGACAGTGGATTTGAAAGGGGCCATCGAATGCCCGCAAAAAAAGGTTCAATCAACAATGGATGCCCTGAGTGTTTCGAGGCATTAGACATCATCATTTCACACCCTCGTGAACTCGCATCTCATGGATGGAGAAAAGACGATACAAAGCCATGCTGAAAAAAGCACCTCTTCAGTCCGTTGCCAACCGCAACACTGCGTCTGAGCTGCCCACACACCGGTCTCATCTGGCAAGTTCCGCAAGTTTCCCAAGGATGCCTCTGCAGATGCAACTTTTGCCGTGGTTGAAAACATCCCATGATCACATGCTACATTTGAGATTTGAATGAGATGTTAGATCTCATCGTTGGGAAAAAGTAAACTGTTCTATATCTAGTCATTAAATGGTGTTTTTTGAAACTATCATGTTCCATGATTTTGGGGCAATTCATGACACTGTTTTTTGCATATAGTTCTTGTCGTGTTGTTTCTTCATCATTACCATTCTTGAAATCGATCCCGAAAGATACGACCCAAAACCCATTTTTTGGGTGATATTATTTGGATCCCAATTTGTTGCGGGAATATCTTGGTGCCTTTTTTTGGGGTGTAAGACCAATTTTGATGTTCGGGTGCTCCAGGTAAGCAAAAGTCAAAACAACCGCAACTCAGAAGCTCAATTGAGATTTGTTTTTGGGATGATAAACTCTCAGCTTCCGACCTTCGCGGGCTCTACGGGCTCCGCGGGCCCTACGGGCTTCACGGGCCCTACGGGCCCTACGGGCCCCCCGCGGGCTCCAAATCCTTGAGCCCATACCGCGCAGGCCCGCGGGCCCGGGCACACGGTGAACCATAGCCCAATTACTGTAGAAAGCTTTCTGGAATAGTTGGATATAATGATGCATCACACATTCTCGGAATCTGTCTGGGCACAACGCGATAATATACCCAAAATATGATCTGAGAATATAACAATCCCCTACCCCCTCTGAACAAATATGTTGTTCCACTTCTCTTCATGAGGGAATCAAATCCCCTGCCCCATGTGAACAAATATGTTGTTCCACTTCTCTTCATGAGGGATCGAATCTCCCACCCCCTCTGAACTTCAGTTGACTTCCGGCACGGTCAAACGTAGGGTTTGCAGTGTACATGTAGTATTCCCCAAAAGCAAGAAATAACGCCCTAATTCACTTTCTAAGTCCATCTTTTTGGGGGTTGCTATTTATGTGTAATGTGTATGTATATATGTATATATATATATATACTATTACGTAAAATTTGGGTGGCATTGACTCCACAACAAAATTTTGACAATCCAGTCTTGGGGTAGATATCATTTGTAACCAGGACGGATCTCCTGTAAGGCTTGCTCAAAGATTGGAAAGTCACCAAAGCAATGGTTGGTTTTCACAAGACCAACTACTCCAAGAGCAACAATCAACTGACCACACTGTCCCGACCAAATTTGGTGGAATAACCCCAGGTCCGGTTACTAACTAACATTGGGCTCTGGCAACTACTCCATTGTGGATGGGTTCGGCTGGCTGTTGGACATTGGGCCGCATGTATCTTGCTAATGCCACAAGTTTCATGACTAGAACATGGGAGAATAGCTCAGAGATCAAGACTCAAAAAGGTGCAGCAACATTTCCCCCGCAAGGCTGCGATTTTCAAATGCATGAAAACCATTGAATCTAATCCCAGTCTTCAAGGTTCCATGTCAGTTTTCATTGGGAGAATCAGCAAATTTCGCGGACATCCAAAAAAAATCTCGATATTTGGATGTGCTTAGCTGCTTAACTCCACCACACATACATAATATGCAGCTTACATATTATATAATATCATATCACATTACATTACAACATTACATTACATTACATTACATTACATTACATTACATTCAAATATAACATCAGCGTATCATAATATAATGTTATGTTATCCTCTGGTAGACTAACATAACTATGGAAAATCACCATGCTATTCATGGGTAAATCAACTATTTCGACTGGGCCATTTTCCATAGCAAACTGTTACCAGGGGTATGTCATGTACATTATGGCCACACCCCAATAGGGCTTCCCCATTTCAGGCGGATCGACCAATCTGGGATGGCCTGTATCCACACTTCCGTAGCTCACCAACGATCTGTTTGATCTGGCTATGTGTCCGAACCTCACTGGAAGTTCGGACCGGGCCTCTGGAGATATGAACCAGAAGTAAAAGTTGATTCTGAATGAAACCAGGTATATATATATGATTATATATTGTATATATGTGGTTTTAACCAGGATTTCTGAATAATATCCCGTTATAACCACAAAAAATGATGGTGTATCAATGATATCATTGGTATTAAATGGTATTTAACCAGGCAATATCCCAGAACTCTCGGCCGGGTTTATCTCAAAGCATGGGGAATCCCAAGAGCCGGCCGGATCTGCGGGCAACAGGTGATATCCCCAGCTTTATCTGGTTGGTGGTTTTAACCCCCCGATGGTTTCGGAGATCCCCATGTAAAGAAACACCCAAATAAATATGGATGATATCAACTGGTGGGTGGTTGACTAACCATCTTGAAAAATATGAGTTCGTCAATGGGAAGGATGGCAGGCATCCCATAAAAAAAATGGAAAATAAAACATGTTCCAAACCACCAACCAGGTGGGGTGAGCTACCAAGATTACCAAGTACCACCTACAAAGATCGAGGGAAAGGGACGGAAAGGGATGATGTCTAGCCTTGAAACTTGGACCCAGTTTGCATTTTTGTAGGTTTCATAGCTGTATATTTAGAAAAGATCACACCCAACAATCAGACTTTTGGGGAATCTTATATACCATTACCATTTGATCCCATAAATTCATAAATTTACAATGGTTGGGGTTTAATCCCATTACTGTATGGGATATCCCAATGTATATATTATATCCGGATAAAATCACATGAACTCCCATCAAATTACCTTCAAATCATAATGCGGTATATCCTATTGCATACCCCTAAAATCAAGAAACCTGTCATAAATCCCATTATAGCAAATATAGATCCCACAAAAAAAAACAGAATTTTCGCCGTTTTCTCCCATTGTTCATGGCTAAATCCCAATGTTTCATGTTTAAAACAGCATTTTCCTATGGTTTCTCCCAATAATGTCCTTTTGGTTTGGTATACCATCTATCATCATTTATTTGTTGTTAAAGGGGTAGACAAACCCCCCTCTATTGATCAACCAACCAATGGGAAAAGGACATCTGTGGTTTCTCCGATGTTTCATGGGCACCTTCAAGCTTCCCCAGCCCCAGTTCTCCCAGCAACTCCATACACGATCTGCGGCACCGTCGTCACTTTTTCGGCTTGTCGCCGCTGCCAGGCGAGAACTGCACACAGCAGAGCCAGGCTTTTTCCGGTGCCTGCGAGTTCAACCAAAAATATCCAAAAATGATCCATTTTTGTGTGATTGATTTAAAGATTATAGAGTTTAAACCAACCAGAATGTGTTTTTTCTTGGTTAAAACAAAAACATGTTTGAAACCAAGAAACACTTGAATAAGATATCGTTGAAGTTACAAACACGAGGATTAAAAAAAGAAATTGTAACAACACAAAATTGAGTTTCACCAGCAAAAAATGGTTTAGTTCGACTCAAGTAGGATTTTAACATACATTAACCCACAGGAACAAGGATAATCACAAAAAAAATGCAAACTGATGGGAATGTTGCTTCGCTTGCACTTAAACAAAAACACCTCTGGATGCGGTTTTAACCCTCTGGATTCTATCCCACTTTATCCCGGTTGCAAGGGTATATTAGGATATATTAGGGATATACTGAAATAATGCATAATATATCATAATATATGTATGATAATATGCAGTATAATGCAGACTTTCATCAAGCACGAGAATATGCACTTTGTTACTTCCCCACAGACCGGCCTGTGGGGGATTCCAGAAAAGCCTCGGTTCACGAAACAGGATGGTTCCAGGATCTGAATCTTGCTGAAATATGGGAGTTTCCTGAAATGGGGGTACCCCCAAATCCATTTATAGATGGTTTATCCATTATAAATTATAAGCCAGCCAGCTATTGGGGATCCCCCATTGAAGGAAACCGCCATATGGCTTCACGTTCTTTCTCAATGTATCTTTCCGTTATGAAATAGTGGATGTGAATGGCCAAAATGATGTGTGAAAGATGGTGTGTGTCAAAGATGGTGTGTGACAAAGTTGTGTGTGAAAGGTGGTGTGTCAAAGATGATGGGTGACAAAGCGGTGTGTAAAAGATGGTGTGTGGCAAAGTGGTGTGTGAAGGATGGTGTGTGAAGGATGGTGTGTGAAAGATGGTGTGTGAAAGATGGTGTGGCGAAAGATAATGTGTGACAAAGTGGTGTGTGAAAGATGGTGTGGCAAAAGATGGTGTGTGAAAGATGGTCTGGCGAAAGATGATGTGTGACAAAGTGGTGTGTGAAAGATGGTGTGGCGCAAGATGGTGTGTGAAAGATGGTGTGGCAAAAGATGGTGTGCGAAAGATAGTGTGTGACAAAGTTGTGTGTGAAAGATGGTGTGTCAAAGATGGTGGGTGACAATGTGGTGTGTGAAAGATGGTGTGTCAACGATGGTGTGTGACAAAGTTGTGTGTGAAAGAGGGCGTGTGAAAGATAGTGTGCCACGCCTGCCACGCAAAGTGCCGCGGCGTCACTTGCGACTAAAGCCGGCCCAAGCGCGCCACCAGAGCCAGCCCAGTGCCAGAAGTGCCACGCCTGCCACGTGAAACGAAGGTAGATGTCTCCAAGCGCCACACCTGCCACGTGGAACGAAGGTGGATGTCGCCAAGTGCCACGCCTGCCAGGCAAAGTGCCGCGGCGTCACCGGCGACCAATCCCAGCCCAAGCGCGCCACCAGAGCCAGCCCAGTGCCATAAGTGCCACGCCTGCGCCGCAAAACGAAGGTAGATGTCTCCAAGTGCCACGCCTGCCACGTGAAACGAAGGTGGACGTCGCCAAGCGCCACGCCTGCCACGCAAAGATGGTGGGTAACAAAGTTGTGTGTGAGAGATGGTGTGTGACAAAGTTGTGTGTGCCAAAGTTGTGCGTGAAAGATGGTGTGTGACAAAGTTGTGTCTGTGTGACAAAGTTGTGTGTGAAAGATGGTGTCCAAAATTCTGTGTGACAATGTGTGTGAAAGATGGTGTGTGACAAAGTTGTGTGTGTGTGACAAAGTTGTGTGTGAAAGATGGTGTGTGACAAAGTTGTGTGTGAAAGATGGTGTGTGATAAAGTTGTATGTGAAAGATGGTGATTGACAAAGTTGTGGGTGAAAGATGGTGTGTGACAAAGATGTGTGTGAAAGATGGTGTGTGTGGCAAAGTTGTGTCAAAGATGGTGTGCGACAAAATTGTGTGTGCAAGATGGTGTCTGACAAAATTGTGTGTGAAAGATGGTGATTGACAAAGATGTGTGTGAAAGATGGTGTGTGTGGCAAAGTTGTGTCAAAGATGGTGTGCGACAAAATTGTGTGTGCAAGATGGTGTCTGACAAAATTGTGTGTGAAAGATGGTGATTGACAAAGATGTGTGTGAAAGATGGTATGCGACAAAGTTGTGTGTGAAAGATGGTGTGTGACAAAGTTGTGTGTGAAAGATGGTGGACGACAAAGTTGTGTGTGACAAAGTTGTGTGTGAAAGATGGTGTGCGACGAAGATGTGTGTGACAGATGGTGTGTGACAAAGTAGTGCATGACAGATGGTGTGTGACAAAGTGGTGTGTGACAGATGGTCTGTGAGAAAGATGGTGTGTGACAAAGTGGTGTGAAAGATGGTGTGGGACAGAGGGGCAGAGGCGGAGGCGGAGGCACCACGGTGCGTGCCAACCTTTCCAAGGCCCCAACACGGCCCAACACCCAAAGATCCAGATTCTTGTAGTTCTGGATCGCCACCTTCACCGGCTCCTCCTCCTGTCGCCAAGCTTGTTCCGACAGCATTCTCGCATCAAGCATCCATCAATAGTTCCATCCCATTCGCATCACATGACTCCCCTGCACCATCCTTCGTTCACAGATTCTGCCTTATCTTCTCACACATCCCTTCCTGACGGTTCCCGCCTGCGTCGGCAAGCTAATCCGACCTGGGCACACAATATGCTAACTTATTTCAACTCGAAGTCATTCCTCTTCTTTCAGTTCACTCAAAAAATTTGAGCGCCCGGCGGCGTGGCCGCGGAGTTGTCGCCGAACGCAGGATGCCCGGAGCTGGAGCCGCGCGCAACCGGTGCGGAAGCGTCTCACGTGCATGGGTCAGCTCCGGGGTCCGCGGTGGAGCTGCAGGCTGCGGCACCTAAAACTCCCCAAAGCTTCACTTTCAATGGTGCCATTGGCTTCTCATCAACTCTTTTGATCTCTCACTCACACTGACACACTTGCCAAAAAACTCGAACCACACCATAACATACCGTACTTTGTCATTCTTCTATGATGTCCTTAAACAAGCGCGACCCTTCAGACAGCAACATTCCCTTGACTGATTCTATATCCATGACTCCCTGGTATTCCACAATGCAACCGACGATTCAATGATTCGATTCGACCAACTCACACAAAGTTCCACTCGGGACCATGAAATTCTCTCGCCAAAGCACGGCGGGAGCCCAAGCGAACATTGCCGGTGCTCCCCCGACAGGTAGTAGTGCCCTCGCCTAACAGATTCATTAACACACTCAAGATAAGCAGCCAGAATATACGACATAAAAGACACTTCTCCGCATCATGTCTCTGTATTTCAAAAACCTTTTGCGAAGACACGAGTTGTCCGTTTATGACTCATACGAAACATGATCTTGAATCGTTTTTTTGACTTGCTTTTTTCTTTACTTTAATGCATCCCTCAACTGAACCCAATCAGCCATACAAAGTCCCATGCAAATTAATCTCACATTCTAGCCGTGACACCAGCTGCTGCACCAGGCTGCGCAGCTGCCGCGCGCCGCGCCGGTGTTGTGCGGCCTGCCCGCACCTGAATCACATGAAATTCAAGCAACGCGAACTTCCGCGAAGATTTCATCCCACCCGGTTCAGGTCACAAAATCATGGTTTCGGAAAAAAAACTCGTCAAAACATTTACCGCCTGCCAGATCTTACCATGACAATTGCTTCATGGTGACCCACGAAAAACAACAGCATTTAAGAAGCACCGTGATTTGAATCACCTCGCGTTTGTTTTTGTTTTGAAATGTCGGCAAACCACTTTCGAACAGCACTGAGCAAGTTCAATCCAAAGTCCTGCGGCCAGGGCACGGAAGCCACTGAAGCACCCACTGGCGTGGCTTTCGCCGCACGACGCCGCCTCCGTGCCTGAAAGAATTCAATTCACTTAGGACCGTGCGGAAGAGGCCCAACAAACAAGCCGTACCCTATTTTCGCCAAAACAGTCGCCTATGTCGGAACCAATACAGTCCACATCAGTCCCCGGTTAGTTTCAAAGCCCCTTGTCAAAACACTCGCCCATCAACACATCGCTCCACGACCAACCATATCCACAATAAGCATTTAATCCTCAGCCTGCAATGCAACATAACTTGAATCCTTTTGCAAAAATGAAAACATTTTGAAAATCCAAAAACAAATCCAATACAACCGAGCACACATTAATTTCCAGCCGTCGCATTCTCGCCGCGGCACCGAGGTCGACGAAGAGCTAGACGACGAGCACGAACTCGTCGACGAGCTCGACGAGGAGCGCGAAGCCGCCTGTATATCCATTTAACCCTCATAAGACTTATCAACCTTTGAACGAGCATTGCAAAACACTCACAAATAAACCGTTCAACCGCCAACAAAGTTTTTACTTTCAAAGATAACTGCTCAAACATTCCCCTCTATCCATACCCTTCCGTTCTGGTAAATCCAGTCGATACCCGACAAGACAAATGCACGTTGAATCCGCAACCTTGCCCGAATCATTTTGCAAACAAATATAGCATCTGAAAATCACGCGGATTCTTTTTTAAGTCCAAAGAATAATGCCAACTTCCGGCGAAAACAATCTGACCTACTCCCCGCGCCACACCTCTTGCCTGCTTCTGAGCAGCCGCCACTGGCTTCTGCGGCGCGGAAGAAGAAGAAGCAGCCTATCGCAAATAATTATGCACTCTTTCCCTTCAATGCACATGCTGCGTCATGCTTCTTCCTAAATCCACCCACCCAAAAAATTGACCAACTCAGAAACGAACACGTCAAATGAACCCAATAGTGCTACTAACTAACTTACACAATTTCACATAGAACTTCTCTCGGCGGCCCCATCACAGCCGCGGGGCCCTTTGGCTTGCAAAACCTGTTCGGAGCCCGCCCATCGTGGCCGCATCAACCAGGAGGGCACAACATCCAGATCCCCAATTTAATGACAATGGCCTACTACCAGTAGTACCGCACAAGGCGGTGGCGGAAGTTTCAAAAAATTGGAAACCTATAGGAGAGATTGGTTGTTGTGAATCAGGGATGGCAGAGCGAATCCACTGATGGACCGAAAGGTGCTTGAGGTCTCCTCTCTTTCTCTCTCTTTCTCTGACTATCTACCTACCTACCTACCTACCTATCTATCTATCTATCTATCTATCGATCTATCTATCTCTCTCACTCTCTCTTTCATCTAATTACCTATCTATTATCTATCTATCTATCTATCTATCTATCTATCTATCTATCTATCTATCTATCCATCTTTCTATCTATCTATCTAGCTAGCTATCTATCTATTTATCTATATCTCTCTCTCTCTTTCATCTGTCTATCTGTCTAGCTGTCTACCTGTCTATCTGTCTATCTATCTATCTGTCTATCTGTCTACCTGTCTATCTGTGGCGCAGTGTCATTCTAATGTAGTGTAGTGTAATGTAGTGTGGTGTTCGTGGAGTGTAGTGTAGTGTAATGTAGTGTAGTGTAGTGTAATTTAGTGTAGTAGAGTGTAGTGGAATGTAGTGGAGTGTAGTTTTGTAGTTGTAGTTGTAGCTGTAGTGTAGTGGAGTGCAGTGTAGTGTAATGTAGTGAAGTGTAGTGGAAGGTAGTGTAGTGTAGTGTAATGTGGTGTAGTGGAGTGGAGTGGAGTGTAGTGTAATGTAGTGTAGTGTAGTGTAATTTAGTGTAGTGGAGTGTAGTGTAGTTGTGTAGTTGTAGTTGTAGTTGTAGTTGTAGTGTAATGGAGTGTAGTGTAGTGTAATGTAGTGTAATGTAGTTAAGTGTAGTGTAATTTAGTGTAGTGGAGTGTAGTGGAGTGTAGTGGAGTGTAGTGTAGTTGTGTAGTTGTCGTTGTAGTGATGTAGTGTAGTGTAATGTAGTGAAGTGTAGTGGAAGGTAGTGTAGTGTAGTGTAATGTAGTGTAGTGTAGGCTGGGAGAATCACATCCATAAAATCCGCTGCCTCCTCGAAGAACCTCATGGTAATCCTGGTGCAGAGCGGCGAGTCAAAGAAGAGTTGCACATTCGGTGTCAACTCTAGATCTTGCTGCATGTAAACTCCCAGCAGCAAGATCCTTCGTCGCACCCGGCCGTTATGCTTCTCAACGTATTGTCGAAGACCTGCAAATTCCATCTTCTCAAAGTGGAGGTTGCGTACTGTTGCACCATTGCAACATCTGAAGTTGGTCAGCCGAAGGTCACCATCATCAGTAATTTCTCCATACGGCTTTGAAAGCCGATATTCAAAACCTCAAGGCTGTGAGAAAACGGACCATATCCTGTCTGCAAATGCCTGTTCGTTCTTTCTGGCATGGTATTTGTCATGTAGCTAACGTCCGAAAATTAAAACCACACTGAAAACATGTGTATCCCCTAAGATGTTTACTTTTTAACCCGCCGAATCCAGGAGAGTCCCGAAAGATTCTGAAGCAAGAAGCGATCCCACCGCGATCACATGCTTTGATGCTGTAACTTGCCACAGCTTTCTGGGGTGCTAAAGGCTCGAAGGGGAAGTACAAGATGTCCTCAAGTTGAGAGGTAGGGCGCCCTGCAGTTCTGTTTGTTGGTTTAGGTTTACCATGGTTCACCCCATGAACTACTTCGACATATCTATCATAAACCTCCATAAACCGTAGTTATTCGAGGTCTTTGAACCAACTTAGCTATCCTGCTTGGTGGTTGAGTATACCTACCCCTCTGAAAAATATGATGATTTCGTCAGTTGGGATTATTCTTCCCAATATGTGGAAAGTCATAAAATTCATGTTCCAAACCACCAACCAGTATCATAAAGGAGGGCTCCACCTTGTAAAAACAAGTCCGATCCCTCGTGCCGAGATCATAGAGATGGGAACTCGTCTCAGGAACACATGTGCCCCCTGCACCTCTTGGATTATAGAATGATCCCAACTAAAACTGGCTGGTTTCTGGTTTTCGCATACTGGTTTATTCTCATTGATTGATTTTATGATGGTTTATGGGGTTTTGATAAAACATGATTTAAAAAAAAGAACAGAGTAAAGCATAATAAAATCAACAAAATGATATTCAATAATAGATCAAATCAATCAATAATCATCATAAAACCTTATCCAAAGAAATTTTGATTCATCCCATTTACTTCGGCAGCGTTCGCTGAACAACCACCGAATCATCCCAGTAGGAAAACGCACACGCCCCAAAGGCCATATAACGCTACGCTTCAAAAGGATCACTCAACAATTATGGATGGTCTTGGAGGTGCATTAGATAAAGTTAGATAATTAGTAAGTGGTGATCATCATGCAACTGGGGTACACTCTACGTATAACTGGCTTATGATATGGTTACATGTTATTACCCACTCTACTAACAGGAAAGCACATCCAAGTATCCTAAAAAAGGACAAGTTTTTGTGTGGCTTCATTGGTCCCACACCCACATCCAGCTCTCATTCCGCAGACGTCGTCAGTTGGCGAGTTTTGATCCGATAGACAAGCTCACCCTAATCCCATCACCAGCAATATCATTGATGGTTAACATATTGCTGGTTATTCTATAATTTATATGGGCATGATAGATATTATTGCAATAATATGGAAAAATGACGATTATTGATGGTGATTATATCTTATGATTTTCCCAACAAAAGCGGGTGCTAGGCTCGAAAAATCGTGGCTCTTCGTTTCTCCCCATTAAAAAAATGATGCCATCCTCCTGTCGGTCTACTAGTTTGATGGTCCACCAAACAAACGATTTTGAGTGTTTCATGGTGAATCCTATCAAATTGAATATATGAAAGAGACGTGAAAAATGCATAAAAATCCCATGTATTGCTAATTCAACATGTTTGAATCACGTGGTTATGAGTCAAAACCCTGGTACCCGCATGGTACCCAAAGTCATAGCTGGTATAGCTGGATGTGAATATATAAACCCCCAGTCATATGGTAAATTCATAGGTAACAAATGACCCATCCCCACATCTTTCACAGGAACGGGGCCCATCTGTGAGTTGATCAACTTGTCATCATCAATTTGGCTATTAGTTGCTGTCCCCACATGGAGGTTTCCTAAAATAGGGATACCCCCCATAGCTGGATAGTTTATTTCATGGAAAAAAAAACCTATTAAAATTAGGATGATTTAGGGGTACCCCTATGACTTAGGAAACCTCCACATCTTACCCTCTGGTAATTGACCATAGCTATTGAAAATGGCCCAGTCGAAATAGTGGATTTACCCATTAGCATGGTGATTTTCCATAGTTATATTAGTTTACCAGAGGGTAAATGTCGATTGTCGATTGTCTGAAACCACCAACCAGCTATACCCATTTATAGTGGATTTACCCATTCATAGCATGGTGATTTTCCATGGTTTTGTGTATGTTTACCAGGCCGGGTATCTTCAACAAACAGATCCCGCGCCCGATCCCGCGCCCTAGCTCTCCTCGTCCACACGGAGTTGGTGCAAACATTTCGAGGGATCCACTGGGCATGGCCTCATCAAAAAAGACGAATGTGATTGGATTATGATACCCTCTGGTTGACTGGGGTTCAATGGGATTTAATGGGATTTAATGGGATTTTATGGGATTTTATGGGGTTTAATGGGGTTTAATGGGATTTAATGGGATTTAATAGGGTTTAATTGGATTTAATGGGATTTAATGGGATTTAATGGGATTTAATGGGATTTTATGGGGTTTAATGGGGTTTAATGGGATTTAATGGGATTTAATAGGGTTTAATGGGATTTAATGGGATTTAGTGGGATTTAATGAGGTTTAATGGGATTTAATGGGATTTAATGGGGTTTAATGGGATTTAATGGGGTTTAATGGGATTTAATGGGATTTAATGGGGTTTAATGGGATTTAATGGGGTTTAATGGGTTTTAATGGGGTTTAATGGGGTTTAATGGGATTTAATGGGGTTTATTGGGATGTAGTAAAATTTAGTGATATACCCTCTGGTAAACTGTCAACACTTTGCTATTGAAAATGGCCCATTGAAATAGTTGATTTACCCATTTTCATAGCATGGTGATGTTCCATCGTTTTGTGTAGGTTTACCAGAGGGTATGTAGGGCTGAATGTGATTGGATTTCCGTGTTCCACTCGCCAAAGCAAAAAATTGAATTGAAGCACTACCACAAACCGGAATTGCTGGGCAAATCTATATAGCTGGTTGGTGGTTGACCTACCCCTCTGAAAAACATTAGTCACTAGTCAGTTGGGATGATTATTCCCAATATATGGAAAAATAGAAAATGTTCCAAATCACCAACCAGGTAGGGTTGAATGTGGGTAAAACAATGCCATAAACCATCCCCCACCCTGCCCCGGCATCGCCTCCCGCCGCTCTCGCCGCTCAAGCGATCCAAGCGATCCCGGAGCTGCTCGACGGCGCCACCACCTGCACCGAGATTTTTGGAATTTATATATCAACATTCTCAGGAATATTTCATGCATATTCCAATTCTATTGTATATATATATTATATATATACATATATATATATTGTTTTAATACAATTTATAATGGTCATAGAGTCATAGTCCAATTCCAATGCATTATATCTATCTTCATATTACATGGAATATTGTTGTTTTAATGAGAAACAATCCTCACATTTACCAATTTATTGTGAGGATTCCCATATTGTCATGGAGAATCTTAGATACTTGCCAGAAAATATATCACTTTTAGCGGGTAAATTTGGATGTATTAATTTTTAACATTGACAGCACAAGATTCAGTTGTACTAGTTCGTATCTATTGTTGACTCAGAAAATTGGGGGGGTTCACGGAAATTGGTGGAATAAGCTACTGACATGAGAAATCAAGCATCCAAAATGGTGATTGGACAAGTTGGATCCCCAACCATTTCAAGTTGGATCCCCAACCATTTTCCGAGGAGATTTAGACATGGTTGATGTTTTTGGTGTAAAACCTGTTGGTTTAGTTTGGAAATGTGTGGAAAATTAGGATAATAATTTCATCCAAAAAGGTGTGAACTCTAGAAAATGGTGATGCTAACCAACCAAGAAAAGACTCCAACAACATCAACGAGGATTTGACTATCCAAAATTACAACTTGCATCAGTGAGATCTTGTGATGATGATTCCCAAGTTACAAATTAGGTGGTTTCATTTGCTGAAATTTGTTGGTATGTGCATCCCCGGGTGTTTGATCTTTCATATCTTCAAAGTATCAGGATCGTGCAGGCTGCGTGGGGTCCTTGTAAGGGTCCCACATATAGAGACTTCATCCCATGGTCCTTGTAAGTGATTAAGCATAGTTACGTCATGTTACTTCACCCATTTATAGATAGGATAACCCCATCTATAAATCGGACTTACAGTACAATTAGGCGACTACTAGTCCCAGTTACTGAGTGGAACAATCCTCTTTGAAACAAGGGATCCCTGCAAAGTGAGGAACTCCTGATGGCTCATCCTATTCCTCTCAAAAATCCTTGGTCCTTGGCACAGCGAAATATGTGCTTCGATCCAGCTTTGACTTGCTTCATCCCCAGTTTGGAGTGCTGCTTCAAATCAATTCTTCGCTTTCCCGTCACCAGAATCACCCGAAAATCACCCAACGACCCAACGACGGAAGCCAGGCCAAAAAAGCCACGCCAAGTTGCGAGACAAAATCTCCTGGACCCCTGGTGGTCGAGCCTGTTCAAGACGGGAGCGCAGTTGGGGTCAAAAAAATGAGGTGAATTTCTGGATGGTTTCACAATGAAAAATCTGGATTTCACATTCGGATTTCACCTCAAAAATTGGATGCTTTCTCAGAAGCTGAATTAAGTGGGTTTAACCCAATGAGGTGGGGTATATAAATCCACTACTCGGGTGAGTGCAGTTGGGGTGATTGATGGGTGCAACCATGCTCAAACAACCCCCAAAAGTTGGCACATAACCTCTATAACTGTGGCATATTATGGCCATATACTCATTTAGTAAGTGCAACTGCAACCCCAAGTTGGGCTGGTAACAGCAATATACCCACAAAAGTGGCGATTTTCGCAACACACATTGAGAGTTAATATGTTTTTTATGTGGATTTTCTTGCAACTAGGATGTGAATTGTACAACAAAACATCAGACATTTAGTAAACAAATGTTCGGATCCCAACCTTGAGATGTTTTACATGGAATTCACCCTTGCATCACAGATCCATGCGGCGGCCTCCAATTGAATCACGGGCTCACCCAAGACGCGGTGTAACGCAGCCTGTTTTCAAAGTGGCTGAAACATCCAGCATGGGGATAAAACATCAATATACCCAATGTCATCAAACCTAGCAACTGAACATCCACCTTTTAGTTCGCTGAGTTTTTTTCCTGGCAAGAGAGTACCCAGCTTGCCATGTGGAAAATGACTGGAGGGTGTATAAATCATATGTCATAATTTCGGAAAATCTTAAAACTGTCCAAAGTTGGTTCTTGACTCCCTGGTAATCAAACATGGCAACAGAAAATACCACATTTACATACCATTTATGATATGATATGATATGATATGATATGATATGTTTTTCCCCATTCCATTCACAGATTTCCATGAAATTTGCCAGTTTTCCCATTGATTTTCCATCAGCATTGACTCTATCGCAATGAATTGTGTTGTTTTTTACCACATCATGGTTACTCCCAAAAGTGGCTCAACTCTATTCTTTTGCGGTATATTAACTATTGAATGGGTCATAGTTTAACCATTAATGAGAGTAGATTAACCAGTGAACTTCATCATGACTTGCCCTCTTGGCCGAAAGTGTGATAAACCATTCAACTTCATGTGATAAAGCCATGAATAAAGTCTCCCCAATGGAGGTTTTGGGTTTAGGGTTTACCACATCAACCATGATTAACCCTTGCCCTGGCCGAAATTTTGAAAATGTGTTATATACATATATATATATATGTATATAACTTATATTAACTATTGAACAAGTTATATTAATCAGTCATTGGGTCACCGTTCAACTGAATGTGGTTAAAACAAGAATAAACCACTCATTTGGGAAAGGTTTATAGCACCCAATTATGGTGAAATTCGGGATGGTTGATGAAATTATTTTACCATATTTTACCCACATTCGCCATGATTTACCCCCTTGGCCCATTGTTTGAAAATGTGCGCGGGCCTTTTCTTTCGCCAAGTCGGGCTTGGCTTTCGTAAGCTTCCCGCGACGCTGCCGCACTCGCTGCATGCCGCAGACGCCGGGTAGCCATGAAGCACAGGAACAAATCTGATGGAGAAGTGGAGAAGGGTTAGTGGCATTTAATGGAATTGATATCAAATTTAAATGGACTTAATCTGATTTAATGGGATTGAATGGGATGTATATCATGGCATTTAATGGGATTCAATGGGATTTGAATGGTTAATGTCACTGATCAAATGTCCAGGGTTTGATTTAATGAGATTTAATGGAATTTAAATTTGGACTTGAATGGGATTTAATGTCCAGAGTTGGTCAGTGGAAATATGTATCTATCCAGTAATTGGTAAGGAAGGAGCGTTCTCAGCTATGGTTTCCATATGTCCTTTTCAATATGGAGGTAAGGGGCAGCTAAGAGTTTTCCAGCCAGAAAGAAACTTATCTGTAGCACTTGAGTGACTTTATTAAGCTGTTCGATTCTGGGGGTATGTAGTGGTTGGTCGAAGGCTGCAGGCTGCTGTTGATGCATGATGAATAGACATATTCAAACAACACAGCTTCATTTGAAGAGATTAAATGACTGGAAATCTATGTTTCTCTAGAGGCTTTCGACCAAATACTTGAGCTATGCGCTGGGATGTTCTACAAAAAGCTTTGTCTGAAAATAGGCTTTGTCCTATACCCCCTGACAATGTTAGATGGGGAGAATCATTCTTTTCCGCTGGATTCTCCATGGCTTTTCCCGAGATGTTTCTGCCATTCTTTCAACCCGAAAAAAGCATTGCTGCTGCGCAATGCTGAGCCCAAAGATCCGGTATCATGTGCAGCAGGCAGAAGACAAACTCTTCGTTGGTGTTTCTTGTGACAACCTCAGCATCAGTGGTCACACACCAATCGAGAACAAATTGAATAAACGGCGTTATCATTCGTTGCGGCAGGAGTTCTGAATCTGACAAATAGCTCAAACAGAGCGATCTGTTTGAGCATCGGTGGGTGTCACGGTGGCAGCATGTTGAAGGACTGGAAAAGACCGAATCAAGTGATTTGTTGCTTCAGGCCCCCAATGAAATGCTCGTTTCTGTCCGTACAGGTAGATATCAGATATCCCATTCTCAAACCTTTGAATATGTCGTTGATGAGAGCTGTTGTTGGTTCTATTCAATCTATTCCCAGTGAATTTGATTCTTGTGGTTGTTTCTTCTGTCTGATTCTAATCATCATATATCACCATATATCACCATATATATATATATATCCTACAGTCACTCTATTCCTGTGGCTACAATCTGTTCAGTCCACCCCTGCCGTACCCCAGCTGGGGCATCCCTGGCAGACCCAACCACTACAGATTTGGCGCCAGACCTGAGTGCGCTCCATCTTCAACGGCTATGCACACCCGCCCATATGTATTATGTATAATAGAATATATATATATATATATAGGCGTATATATATATATATGTGTGTATATATATATGTATATATATATGTATATAGATATATATATATATGTATATATATGTAATATGTATATATATATATAGATATATATATATATATGTGTATATATATATATATGTATATATGTAGATATATATATATATATGTATATATATATATGTATATATATATATGTATATATATATATATATGTTATATATGTATACAACAGTTGGAAACATTGGCATGATTGGTTTTTGAGATCTTTTACATTATACCATGTTGGAAACACCTTTTCCATCTACAGTATGTGCTTGTTCTTCTGAGTGATGAAGGATGACAACCCATTAATAAACCATTACTGTAAAAAAAAAACGCAAGTAAGCCATCAAATTCCATCATCCACGACCAGACTGCGACTGTGGCAATTCAGAACAGGAAGCATGGCCTTGTTTTGAGAAAACCTTCACGGGAAGCTCATGTGGTAAAAGCCAACGGGGTACCTTTGCAAAATGCTTCAGAAACTTAAATCCAGTCCAAAGCCAGGCCGAGAACAGAAATATATTCACCAAAAGCAAGGAATTATAATTGGTGCCACATTTCCATTTCACAAGTAATTATTCCAAAATGCCCATTATTCCATAGTTTTTCAATCACGTGGATTTGCTCAAGTCTTCAAAAAAATGAAACATATTCCCTTACTCGATTCCCCAGGTCGTACATTTCCCAGCTGAAAAAAATCCAGCCAAACCAAAAAAAGTCGACTGAGCAAATCCAGGTATATAAAGTGGTTAGCACTAGTTAGTTTATGGTCATTGTTTATATTATATATATATGGTAATTACAGTACTAGTTACTAGTTACTCTAAAATACTGTTATGATAATTAATTAGAGTAACTAGTTTAGAGTACTAGTTACTAGTTCCAGATGACAATCTCACTAACTGTTTAGATGGTGGACGTATCCCCAACACTATAAGAAAAAAACATAAAAAAACTATAGAAATTTCAGCAATCCATTACCCTAGGGACCCTAGGGTAAACGTTTACATAGATGTGGAGAAACCATGGTTTCCCGTTTGGAAAAGGATCTACACATGCGCTTCGTTTTCCACATCGAACTGTTAGTTTACCCTATAGGTATATCACCAAAAGATTAGTGGAACATAGTTCAATGGGAATTTCAGGATCCTAAAATGGAGGTACTGTGCCATATAAGGCCATATTTTGCTGGGATATTCCCTTACATAGGCCTTATATAAGCATTCCAGCAGAACCGAAAACCTTCGAAAAGTTATGGTTTTCATTTGGGACCGCTAAAAAGTGAGGTTCATGGTTCCAATGGTTATATATGGCCATTGAATAGTGGAACATTCCCGTCAACTTTATTGATGTTTCGAAAATTCACGGGAAATTCACTAAATCTGGTTGGTGGTTGAGCCCTACCCCTCTGAAAAATATGAGTTCGTCAGTTGGGATGATGACATTCCCAGTATATGGAAAAATAAAAATATTCCAAACCACCAACCAGAAATGCTGGGATTGAATGGTGATATGGAATTTACCCTCCGGTAAATTAACAGTTCGACCCTGCCAGTTGTCGGGTTTTTTCCAGACTGGTTTCCACTATAAAATTGTCATTTTCAGCGTCGAACTTTTAATTTACCAGAGGATAATCCCAGGGCATATCACCATGAAAATCCCACTATATGGTGATATAGGATGGGGCCCCCGGTTCGATACCGTTCAGTTGCCTAAAAAAAGTGGTTGAATTCTATGGTTTATGGTAGATATAACAAACTAGTCAATGGGGGTTATAATGGTATATACCCTCTGGTAATTTAACATAGCTATTGAAAATGATCATTTATAGTGAGTTTTCCCATTAAAACTAGTGGTTTTCCATAGCTATGTTAGTTTACCAGAGGGTAAACCATCCTGTATGGACATATCAACTTCCATGGAAGATCCCATGAAGGCGCCCCGGACGCTTTGGGTGCCACCTTGGGCTCGCGCAGACAAGCAACCAGAAACATTCAGGAGACATTAGGTATGTAGAATATCATGTGTATACATGTATATAGACATTATTTATATAATACATATATATATATATATTAATCTATACATATTAATTATATACATATATGTGTGTGTGTGATCTATACATATTATGTACATATATATATGTGATCTATACATATTATATATATATGATATGTATGAATGATACATCACGTTTATGATATGATATGTATGACATATCAGATCTACATTGAACAATGTTCCCGGGTAGTCTGGTTTCCCACCGAAGATGGATGGCTGTGGTGGGTTTCCCTGTTTCTGAGACATCCTTTCCCCCATTAATGGCTATCATTTACATGTATGTATGTATGTATATAGTATATATAATAGGTTGGAGCATCCCTGACCACCACTTTCATTGATCATCATAAATTCCATGTTGGTTAGTATATCCCAGTACATACATATATACTATATATATATATATCCATATAGGAATACATATATATATATATATACACCATATTGTTGGTTGTCGCCATGTTGATTCTCTCAGTAGTTTCTGCTTCAATTTGTCCATCACCAGCGTTTCCAGCCTCGGCCGAGGGTTCCTCGCCCTGTGGGCAAAGATTTCTTCATATGGTTCTACTCATGGTATGGTGGTACTACAAGTCTATGAATGCATACATATGGTTAGTTGCTAATGGTATAGTGGCAAATGGTTGCTAATGATTGGGGGGAAATATATATATATTGTGAACAAATGGATCCTTGTTCTGGATGTAGTTATTGAGCTGTGATACCCGTTATGCTGGTAGCTTTGGACAGCGTTACGGCATTGCAAGCGGAGCTCGGACTTTTCCTCGCGCAGGGACTTGAGCCAGTACGGCGTTTCAATGCACAATCACATATGTACATGATAAGTGTCCTAGCGTTTAGTTCCCTTTGACACCCCCCATGCCCGTGGCATTCTTCGAGCCACGGACACGAGAGAGGGAACTTTGAATTAGATTTGTTCTGCTACTTGAATTACGCCTATTTACATAAAGCGTGCCATTCGGATCCCCCTTCCCCACATACCCGTCGGGTATAATGGTTCAGGGTTCACCTACTCTTTGGCTGTCGATGCATCGGCGCTTCATCAAGCTGTACAACGCGAATTATTGCTAGCTAACATCTACTTTTCTACGTTGGCTAAGCCCGCCACTCACCCGTCGGGAGAAATGGATCGCCTCGCTACCAAAGATTTACAATGCTAACTAACGAATTCACGTGCACAATGCAGAATCTCGTGCAGATTGGGAATATCAAAAGTCTTGAACCTAAGCGAATTAGTCTAATGCCTCGCTCAGTGTCCACTCAGTTGGTCTTTTCCTGATCATCTGTTCATAAAGACGGTAAACATCTTGTAGCCCAGTGATCATTTTGACGGATCGAAGCAATTGGTTTACTGCTCACGGCGGACTTTCTTCCATTGAGGTGCTGTTGGAGTTCTCTCCCATCCTGCCGCACGTTTCGGAGCAGCTTTCGGCGATGAAGGCTTTGCAGGCGGTGCCTTTGATGGTTCATGGGATTTCGGCATA